AGGAAAAATTAAGTCTAAATTCTATTTAAAAAATATTTGAAATTTGCTATTTTCGAACTACAAATTTTTTTTTTTGCAAAAACTGGACACGCTAGAAAAGTTTTGTAAATGTACTTGAAATTCACTTAAACAAATTTATAAGATGAGTTTGGTCCCGCTTTTGAGATAAAAGACAACCACGTTTTGTTGAACCGTCGATTCAAATTATTATTCAATGCTCATGCTATGCTCACCACACTCCATATTTGATTTGATTTCGTTCCAATTAGGGTTACATGTAAATTTTATGAATAAATCCGGCTTGCCGAATTCACGAACGATACTCATTGCATTTAAATAATTAAAATGCAAATTTCTGTAGCTGCCTGGAAAAGTTTTTGGCAAAATAACCTGTTTACCTATACGTAAACCAAAATTTTGAGCTCTATTTCTTAAAGCATCATGCAAATTCAGATATTGCTCAGCTCTAAGAAGTTCTTGCTGTGAACGAATGAATGATAAACGCTCCCCTTCAATTCGTGTGAAGATGTCAACAATCCAAGCCAAAAAAAGTTTCTGGGATCTATGAAGAGTGCTGAACCCTTCTCTTATTGCAAGACGATGGGACGCATATTGCGATTGCGTTAACTTATTACGAACCGCTGTGGCGTGATTTCCTTCGTGAGCCATGTTTCGATGCCACGCCTCGTCGCCAAATGGAAAGAGAAGAGGATATGCCATAGGGTCCACACATGAGTGCTGGCATTCAACACTTCTAAGTCCACCACCAACAGGGTATACAATAAGATCCCTTTCGCCAACGGGACATCCGTCGTCTGCTTTAAAAACTGCTGCAACATCATTTGCTATAGGCAAATTGAAAAGCGAAAACAATAGGGGTATTCTCTGAGTCTTGCAAAGCCCTTGCACGGTGCACAGATTGCACGGATTGCACGGTAAAAACCGGTTTTCGTATGGGACAGCTTTTCAAACCGTACAATCCGTGCACCTTGCAAGGGCTTTGCAAAACTCAGAGAATACCCCTAATCATTCTCAGATTCTTATGTTGCGATGGTTGCAGTTGTTCCATAACAGTTTTTACACTTCGGAATATTTGCGAAAATGGATTATGTTCCTGAAGGTACTCCGACAGCTGTAACATACTACCAAGATCACAGTCCTTGATTTCTTCCTCTAATTCTAGTAGCTTCTTCGGTGTCATACATATAAATTTGAGCATAAACTGGTCGCCTTTCTGAGTTTGGCTTCAAAGTTCCAATACGATGGTGTACATGGCCATTAATTTTATAATAATAAGGCCCATCGGAGCTACATTTTTCAACTACTGTACTTGAACTCATCATTGAAAAAGCAGCATTAAAAGAACGAATATTTTGTTGGTAATTTTTTGATTTTTCATCATTTCGGACTAACAGGTTTTTAAGTAATGGCGATTGAACATATGGCGAAAGTTTAGCTTTGCCATTATGACAACATGAGCCAAGTTCGCTTTTAACTGTTGTAGTTTCAAAATGAAAGGCTCTACAATATGCACACCTTTCTCTTAGCAACCCAAGGTCATTTAAATCAGGCCGAGCAGCGCTAAGAGCTAATTTATATGTACTCGCTTGTGACCCTCTGGAAGCTTGCGAACTCCTCATTCGACTACGGTTGGTATTCCGACCAACCCTTCCAGATAAATTCCTCCGCCTTCTCTGTCGAGGCATGACTGTTTAAACCGAGATTGAAAAATCTTTGAAATCACATTTTAATGCCGTACTTACCTGCAACGATTCTTTAAGTATAATAATAATAATAATAGATTGGCGCTTACACATATGTTAGTGTTTGGCCAAGCTTCTCCTCCAATTTGTGCCGTGCGCCTTGATGGTGTCACACAAAGCGGAGGGACCTACAGTTTTACGCCGACTCCGAACGGCGATTGTATTTTTATGAGAAGCTGTTTTTCATGGCAGAAATACACTCGGAGGTTTGCCATTGTCTGCCGAGGGACGACCGCTGTTAAGAAAAAACCTTTTTTTTTCTATATTTTTGCGATGTTGTTGTTCTTTAAGTATGCTTATGTATAATGTTCACAGAATTTTTCTTCGTTCATACACCATACATACGTATAAATTGTTAATTTTCACTTATTAAATTCACAACCACTTGGATTACTAAACTTGTTTATATCAAGCAGCCAAATCTTTAACGAAACGCTCTGATTTGACATACATTAAAATTGCAATTGTGAAACCGTTACAACAAACAAATAATATTGTCGTCCTATACTATGGGTATCACATATAGATACGCGCTTTGAGTATAACTATGGCAATGAAATAATAGATGGAGCCCTAACGCGAAGCATTTCCTCGACATACCACGTACGTATATATAATGCTTTTAGCAGATCTGCAGAATGTTGGCTTTCTAACCTTGAAGTAAGCGTGTGAAATATTACATGACCTGTCGTATTTTTAGAAGTGGCAGCACCAAGTTAAAAAAAAACGGTCAAAACTCTACGATACAGATTTCTAATAAATGAAACATAATTGTTAAAAAAGTGTGTTTTAGACGAAGCTGGGGTCGCGGAACCTTAATTTGAAATATTTTTTTTTTTTAAGAACCTTTTCCTTTTGACACTCCTAGTGTTTGTGCAATATTTCATATAAATACATGTGTAAGTATTCGACTTTTAAAAACGATGCATTGAGTTAAATTTGAAGTCTTAAGAGAGGCGATCCTCTTACATATAGTTTAGAAATAAAGCCTTTTCAAAATCATTTCGTTTTATTTCCATTTTTTAATAATTCACCCGATTTAATAAATAATTTCAATTTAACTTTTTAAACAGGTGGAAACCCTCCTCAAACGCTTTAAATTATTCCTAATGTTTAAACTAAGATTTGCTAATACTTTTTTGTTTGATAACTTTTTACACAGGTGGCAACCCGCCTCAAACTCATAAAATATATTCTCAATGTACAAACTAAGATTTCGTAACACTTTTTAGTTTTATATCGATAATTGAATAAAATTAGACTTTTCGAACAGGTGGCAACCCTATTAAAAATATGTTCTCAATCTAAAATCTTCTTAAATCTCTTTCGTCTGACACCCATATTGTTATACCTATTTTTATTACCCCATTGCCTTAATTCAAATTGAATTTGATTATTTAAACAGGTGGCAACCCTTCTACACGCAGTTAAGAAATAAAGTATTTTCAGAACTACTGCGATTGGTACGCAATTGGTAAATATTGATTAAACTATTTAAATAATTTGAATTTAATTTCTAAACAGGTGGCATCCCTCTTCAAAAACTTTAAAAATATTCTAAACGTTCCGACTAAAGATCTCTTAAGATTCATTCGCTTGAAGTCCATATTTTAATACTTCATATAAATTAGACTTTTCAAACAGGTGGCAACCCTCTTCAAAATGTTTACAAACTACTACATACTTAACCTTTACCGTCTGGCACAAATACATATTTCTATCACCTAATTCCCCTAATTCAAATTGAATTTGATTTTTTTAACAGGTGGCAACCCTCATAAAGTTAAGTTAAGAAACAAAGATTTTAAAAACTTTTTCCATTTATGCCCATTTTGCAATAATTGGTTTAGCTTTTTGAATAATTTGAACTTAATTTTTTAAAAGGTGGCAACTCTTTTTGAAAAAGCTAAACCTTATTGTACACCTACAGCCAGAGCCCTTTGATTTGGCACATCACTTTTGAAAATCGAACGAACGGTGTGGATCTGATGGCTTTGATTATTAAATTATTTGAATGCAGTTTTTTATCAGTTGGCAACGCCTGTCGAAAAAATAAAACCAGTTAACACATCTACAGGCCAAGCGCCTTAATTTGGCACCCCATTTTTGAAAGTCGAACGAACGGTGCAGATCTTTTATGCGGAACAAAAAATGCCTTCGCGTATTGTTTTGAACTTAATTTTTTAAGAGGTGGCAACTCTTTTCGAAAAAGTTAAACCTTTTTGAACATCCACGCCCTAAGCCCTTTAATTTGGTACCTCATGTTGGGTCATGGTTGTGAACACCTGCATCAGCTGTATTCATCGGCGTAGCCAGAATGAAATTTAGGGGGGCTCGACCCTATTAAGCTGGCATTTCAGGGTACTATTTTATATATATATAAGGAAAATTTGCCCCTACCTGGCTACGCCCATGTCTGTATTTATATTTGCCTTCTATATACTTACTTGTTAGCTAATTATCAAGGTCAGCTACGCAAAGTCATTCACCTTATTATTGCATTAAGTTATACCGCTAAATGTTCTTACATATGTACAGTATCGGTCATATCTATAGCACGCCATTTCAAAGTGATATTGTGTGCCACTTATGTTTATTTATTTATTTTTAAGAATTTTCAATTAAAATACAGTTTTTTCTCTAACAAACCCCATATAAACCCAAGATTAATAATTTGTAGAAAACTTCAAAAAAGTGCAACAAATTTTCACCTTAATTTCAAACATTTTTCTCGGAAGTGTTAGGATTTTTCGGAATACACAGTTTTATAGCCCAATCAATTTTAGCCTGACAATGTGCAAGTTTCAAGTGGCTGAAAGTTACCGTTGATTTTTTAGAATTTTATTGGCCAAAGGTGTTGCGGTTTTCATCCATATACAAATAAATTGAGTTTATTCATTATATGGGAGCCAATGCGACAAAAAAAAATCTAAAAAACTAACGGTAATTCGTAGCCACTTGAAATTTGCACATTATCAGACCAAAATTTCAGTGGCTAAAAAACTGTGTACTCAAAAAAATTCTAACACTTCCGAGAAAAAAGTTTGAAACTTAGGTGTAAATTTGTTGCACTTTTTTGAAGTTTTCTACAAATTGTTAAACTTGGGTTTATATGGGGTTTGTTAGAGAAAGAACTGTATTTTAATTGAAAATTCTTAAAAATAAATAAATAAACATAAGTGGCACACAATATCACTTTGAAATGGCGTGCTATAGATATGACCGATACTGTAAGTTATTTGCATCGATCTCTTTCAACCACTCTTCTCTACATAGTCCAGCGAACATACACACTCACTTGTATTGCATCTTAGCTTAGCGAACAAACACACTCACTTGTACTGCATCTTAGCTTAGCGAACATACACACAAACATGCATTGTATCTTAGTTTAGCGAACATACATACATACATGCATACTTAAGTAAATATTGAACTGCGTTGATTTTACCCGTTCTAATTACCAACAACATGTATTGATACTAAGTGCAAAAGCGTTACACTTGTTTATCTTTTTTGAAGTTGATTTTGGACTAGCGTTTTTCACTTGCACATGGAAATTGTATATAAGGGTGAAATTTGGAAATAATAAATCAGACTATTGTTGACCACTAACCTGTTGGCTTCCAACTTACTCAGGCCATTTATTTTGTTCGATTTGGATTTAGCTGTTTTCACTTGGCTAGTTTGCACGATCGTAGAAAACGCTCTACGATCCAACATTTTGGCGCCCAACGTGGGGCTCGAGTAAGTATTCGCATCTGGTATTTCGTGGACACTTGGTGGTCAGCACGGGACTTCACCATTGGACTACACGGCTGGACGTTATCATCCGCGTTGAACACTGGAACCTAATTGCCATAACCGTTGCCCAGCAGCACCAGTTTTCTGGTCTCCACTGGTCTCTTCTGGACTCCTGTTTCACCACCTTTACACCGCCGCTACTGGTTTGCCTTCCGTCGTCCACCCAAACTTAAGTAACCACCTGGGGAATTGCCTTCAAGGTCATGCGTTGGAAACAGTGGACGCATTTCAGGTAACAAATGAGAGTTATCCAAAGGCATTGGATAGGCTAAAGGCTCGCTATGATAATAAGACACTAATTTTTTTGGAAAATATTTCATCATTGTTCGAACTACCAGTTGTTACTAAAACAAATGGTGTTCAGCTTAGAAGTCTTATCGACAAGGCTTCAGCAATTTATGGATCTCTCTTGTCGCTCGGTACTGACATGCAAATATCACAAGCTATGCTAATATATTTAGTTTTGCAGAAGTCCGATGAACAAACCAACAAGAAGTGGAAATAATCACTAGATTTCAAATCATTGCCCACATGGGAAGACTGCACTAGGGTATTGGAGAGACACTGCCAGTATTTGGAGTCGATTGACAGCGCTCACACCTGCAACCCTGTTACCAACAAATCGCCATCAAGCAAGCCAAAGAGCCAGCAACGAGGATACGCTTTTTCTTGCTCCAACACACCATGTCCAATTTGTTCCAATTCAGGCCATAAACCTTTGAATTGCGAACGCTTCAAGGCGTTTAGCATCGCTCAATGCTTTGATAATGCAAAGAGGTTTGGTCTGTGTATCAATTGCTTTTCAAAGGGGCATCAAGCAACGCATTTTCCATCATCGCATCGGTGCAAGGTTTGTCAAAGGCAACACCACACTTTACTTCATCGTGGATCAGCACCAAACCACCAAGCCACAAGTCCTTCATATTCAACAACGGAGGCTACTGTACATACACATATGAACAACTCGTCCATTGATAACATCATTCTTGCAACTGCAAAGGTTTGGGTTCGTGACTCATCTGGCAACTACAAATTGGGTACGGCACTGTTGGACTCCTGTTCCCAGGTCAACTTCATCACGGATGAATTTTCGCAAAAATTGAGGTTGTCAAGAAGTAAGCAGTATATTGAAATCCAAGGTATTGGTAAGTCGTCGACCAATATCAAGTATAAAACAACAACTAATATCAAATCGGTAGTCATTGGTTTCGAGCTGCCATTGACCTTCTGCATCACAACCCACATTGCCTATCAACCGGATCCAGAAATCGACATTTCTTCATGGAACATCCCAGGGAATACTACATTGGCAGATGAGGAATTCCACGTGCCAGGGAAGGTCGACTTGTTGTTAGGTACTGAAACGTTTTCCAGCCTACTGTCTGTCGTTCAAATTAAACTAGGAACTAATTTGCCAATACTGCAAAAAACGCTGTTAGGATGGGTCGTGTCCGGACGATATCAAACAACTAATAACTCAATCAAACCTTCATGTTTACTTACAGCTAATGAATCTCTGGATGCAAGGTTGGAGTAATTGTGGAAATTGGAGGAAGTTGCTAACACCGCGAATCCTTGGAATCGTGAACAGCACAGTTGCGAATGATTATATCTCAATACAGTCTCCAGAAAATCCTGTGGCAGAATAGTGGTAAGATTGCCCTTGAAGGATGATCCTAGTTGTTTGGGTGACTCATACGTTACAGCTTTGAGACGGTTTCATGCGCAAGAACGTGGTATGATGGCCCCAAGTTTTTATACAAGGAGATGGAAAACTGGCCGCGGAATAAGTGCGATAGCCTAGACCTGGAAGTCATTGAAAGTGAAAAATGGAAATCAGCATTTAAATCGGTTGTAAGTACCAACTACATTTTAGAAATCATCAACCATCGCAGTTCGTACGTTAGTAACCTTCGATTGGATGCCTGGATTTTCCGTTACATCAAGAAATTAAGACACTGTTACCTCGAGCAACACGGAGCCACTTTCACCACAGGAGCTGCATCGCGCCTTACTATGCATAGTTTGGAATTTTCAGCAACAACATTTTTCTAATGAAATTCATCTTTTGCAGAAAGATCGACCGACTAGTAGCCCGCTGCGTTTCTTAAATCCTTTCTTAGAGTCAACTGAAGGGTTTCTTCTATTAAAAGTTTGTGGACGACTGGAATTGGCAGACATTCATGAGGAAAGGAAGCATCCAATACTTCTGCCCAGCAAATGCGAGTTCGTTTTACAATATGTTCGGCATCTTCATCGGAAAAACTACCACGCTGGACCTAAGGCACTCGTAGCATTGATAAGAATACAATTTTGGATAATAAACTCACGCTACGTGGCAAGGCGGATCGTGAGGTCATGCATACACTGCGTACGATACAAACCAAAAATTTTACAACATGTCATGGGACATTTACCACTCGAGCGGCTTACTCCATCACGCCCCTTCGCGCGCTGTGGCATCGACTTCTGTGGACCAGTCAACGTTTACTTACGGATTCGTGGCAAGACACCTTACAAGGCGTATATCGCGATCTTCGTATGCCTTGCATCAAAGGCAGTGCATATCGAAACCGTAACCGACTTATCTACAGACGTATTTTTGTCATCACTAAAGAGAATGATTGGGAGAAGAGGCCTACCCTCTGACATTTATTGCGACAATGCTAAAAACTTTGTCGGCGCTTGTAGTAAACTTGCAGATTTAAAGGCATTTCTATTCAAACATGAAAATAAAAATGCAATCATAAATTACTGGGCTAATGAATTTATCAACTTTTATTTTATATCCCCTAGAGCACCTCATTTTATCGGTATATAGGAGGCGGCAGTCAAGTCAGCGAAGGGTCATCTCAACCGCAGCATTGGCAGAGCTAGACTGACATTTGAAGAGTTATCGACAGTTCCGGTAGAAATAGAGGCGGTATTTAATTCCCGGCCGAAATCACCATTATCAGCAGACCCAAGCGACTACGAGGCACTGACACGTGCACATTTCATCATTGGCAGATCCCTACAAGCTCTTCCGGAGAAAATCATATCAACTAATATAGACAACTTGCAGCGATGGACCCAAGTGACACGCATTAAGCAAGCATTTTGGAAAAGATGGTCTCACAAATATGTTAATGAGCTTCAAGCACGCTCAAAGTGGTTTTCGGATCGTCTCAACATCAACGAAAACACAATGGTCATCATCCACGAAGACAACGTACCACCACAGAAATGGCATCTTGGGAGAGTAATCAATTGTATACCAGGAAAGGACTCTCGAATCCGTGTGGTTGACATTCGAACACCAAGAGGAATAATTCGGCGCCCAGTTCATAAATTGGCAGTGCTACCTGTTTGAAAGGCCTTTTAACCGGCCTGGGATGTTGGGTCATGGTTGGGAACATCTGCATCAGCTGTATTTCTACTTACCTTCTATTTACTTACTTGTTAGCTAATTACCTAAACTAACTATCAAGGTCAGCTACGCAAAGTCATTCACCTTATTATTGCATTAAGTCATACCGCTAAATGTTCTTACATATGTAAGTTGTTAGCATCGATATCTTTTAACCACTCTTCTCAGTTATGTAGTCCAGCGAAAATACACACTCACTTGTATTGCATCTTAGCTTAGCGAACATATACACAAACATGCATTGTATCTTAGTTTAGCGAACATACATACAAACATATAGTACATGATATGCATGCTTAAGTTAATATTGAACTCCGTTGATTTTACCCGTTCTAATTACCAACAACATGTATTGATACTAAGTGCAAATAGCGTTACACTTGTTTATCTTTTTTGAAGTTGATTTTGGACTAGCGTTTTTCACTTGCACACGGAAATTGTATATAAGGGTGAAATTTGGAAATAATAAATCAGACTATTGTTGACCACTAACCTGCTGGCTTCCAGCTTACTCAGCCCATTTATTTTGCTCGATTTGGATTTAGCTGTTTTTACTTGGCTAGTTTGCACGATCGTAGAAAACGCTCGACGATCCAACACCTCACTTTTGAAAATCAAACGGACGGTGCGGATCTGAGGGCATTGATTAGTAAATAACTTGAGTTTAATTATTTAACAGGTGGCAAATCTTTTCGAAAAAATAAAACCTTATTGCACATCTACAGGCCAAGGGGAACGGTGCAGATGTTTTAGGCTCCACAAAAAATGCCCTCGCGAATTATATATAATAGATTGAAGATATTGGTTTACTCCTTATGCACGTAGCATTTCTCTTTCCGCGTGATTTTTTGAGTTGAAATTTCAAAGGATAATCGTTATTTGCGGTCCCTGGCGTGGACAGAACCAATTCGTCGTTTAAAGTACAAAACCGCGTATCAACAAAATGCAAAACCGCGTATCAAGATAATGCAAAACCGCGTATGTGAGGTTGCATAAATTATTTTTTAGAGAGCATTTTGTTCCACTTATATCAAGGATAAACTGCAGAGACAACAATATGTATCGCCATACGAATGCGTTCAAAAACCGTATTTTTCAGGTGCTGACTTCACTGTAGAAAAAAAAATTTGTACGATGCTCACCCGGTAGAAGTGAAACCTTCATAAAATTACTAGAGAATGTGTTTGTTTCTTGTAATATTGGTACGAATTTTATAAGTTTTTATAATTTTTTGTTTTCAATTTTAAAATTTTTCGTTTTATGATTATTTATACTCCTGTTCAAATTTCTACAAAAGAGACGAGTGGCTTATGAATGATAGATATGATAGAATGATAAGATATGAAGTAAATGTTTTAGTTGAGATATGATCCATATATGAGCCACTAAGTCGGACGGATTTCGTAAAAAAAATTATTTCGTGTCTCCGATTCGCTTCAAATTTTTTTTTGTGGGTTCTATACATGAAATAGGCTAACAAGTCTTCGAGGAATTTTTTCTCCTTTTTTTTCTTCGGAGATATGATCTGTCAACGTTTGCATTTTTTCGTGATTCTGACTAATCATGTAGAGACTTCATCTTAACGTCATTCTAAAGCTAAGAAACGGGCTTAACATTTCTATATACAAGATGGTCAAGATTATCCTAAAGCTAACTTAGCTATTAACAGTTGAACTTTTTGAAGTTGATTTGCATAATGAAGACGAATAAATTAGGGATTTGAAATTANATATATAATAGATTGAAGATATTGGTTTACTCCTTATGCACGTAGCATTTCTCTTTCCGCGTGATTTTTTGAGTTGAAATTTCAAAGGATAATCGTTATTTGCGGTCCCTGGCGTGGACAGAACCAATTCGTCGTTTAAAGTACAAAACCGCGTATCAACAAAATGCAAAACCGCGTATCAAGATAATGCAAAACCGCGTATGTGAGGTTGCATAAATTATTTTTTAGAGAGCATTTTGTTCCACTTATATCAAGGATAAACTGCAGAGACAACAATATGTATCGCCATACGAATGCGTTCAAAAACCGTATTTTTCAGGTGCTGACTTCACTGTAGAAAAAAAAATTTGTACGATGCTCACCCGGTAGAAGTGAAACCTTCATAAAATTACTAGAGAATGTGTTTGTTTCTCGTAATATTGGTACGAATTTTATAAGTTTTTATAATTTTTTGTTTTCAATTTTAAAATTTTTCGTTTTATGATTATTTATACTCCTGTTCAAATTTCTACAAAAGAGACGAGTGGCTTATGAATGATAGATATGATAGAATGATAAGATATGAAGTAAATGTTTTAGTTGAGATATGATCCATATATGAGCCACTAAGTCGGACGGATTTCGTAAAAAAAATTATTTCGTGTCTCCGATTCGCTTCAAATTTTTTTTTGTGGGTTCTATACATGAAATAGGCTAACAAGTCTTCGAGGAATTTTTTCTCCTTTTTTTTCTTCGGAGATATGATCTGTCAACGTTTGCATTTTTTCGTGATTCTGACTAATCATGTAGAGACTTCATCTTAACGTCATTCTAAAGCTAAGAAACGGGCTTAACATTTCTATATACAAGATGGTCAAGATTATCCTAAAGCTAACTTAGCTATTAACAGTTGAACTTTTTGAAGTTGATTTGCATAATGAAGACGAATAAATTAGGGATTTGAAATTATATCCTTGTTTAATTCTCTATAAAATACTTGGTTCAACAAAATGGGGGGTTTTCAAGAACTATTTTTAAAATATTTTTCTTTATGACGAAATGGTTTCTTTTGTGAGAATCAACAATTTTTTCTAATTTTTTTCGAAAACTTATGTTAAGATATATTTGGTAAGGTGTTAGACATCGGGTTTTTGTAAAAAGTAAATTTTTATTGCGGATTGAAAAAGTTGTAGGACATATGTTGTTAACAAAGCGATATTCTGCCGAAATCCGCAATAAAATCTGCGTTTTGCAAACTTTAGTCCTAAAATTGCCACGCCCATTTTTAGGGGTCTAACGCCTTAAAGAAAAGCCTTGCCGTACAAATATAATACCTGGATAGGTATTCTATCGGCATCTGCAATAAAATTTAAATACTTGCGAAAACTCGATGTTTAATACCTTACTAAACATACGAGTAGTCCACTCGCAAACTGCGCTATGTAATTTTTTTTCGATTTTTAGTTTTTGGTGGTTAACGTACCAGTATTTAAAGTAGTTTCATAACAATACAGTGCAAAATCCTTATATACTCTGAAAAAAATAGCATCAAATGTTAGCTACTCTAGCAAAAGTCGCTATAATACTTCTTCTTCTTCTTTTTTGGCGCTGTAACCGCCTAAGCGATTTTGGCCGAGTTCAGCAAAGCACGCCAGTCGTTTCTCTTCTGTGCCAACTGACGCCAATTGGAAACGCCAAGTGAAGCCAAGCCCTTCTCAACCTGATCTTTCCATCGCAGAGGGGGCCTCCCTCTTCCTCTGCTACCACCAGTGGGTTCCGAGTTGAATACTTTCAGAGCTGGAGCGTCGGTGTCCATTCGAACGGCATGGCTAAGCCTGCGGAGCCGCTGTATTTTAATTCGCTGCACTATGTCCATGTCGTTGTAAAGCTCATACAGCTCATCGTTCCATCATCTGCGGTACTCGCCGTCGCCAACGCGTAAAAGCCCGTAAATCTTCCGCAAAATCTTTCTCTCAAACACTCCATGAGCCGCCTCATCGGATGTTCTCATTGTCCATGCTTCTGCGCCATATACCAGCACGGGTATGATGAGTGACTTATAGAGCATGGTTTTCGTACGTCGAAAGAGGACTTTACTCCTGAATTGCCTACTCAGTCCAAAGTAGCACTTGTTGGCAAGAGTGATTCTGCGTTGGATTTCAATGCTGACATTATTATCGGTGTTAATGCTGGTTCCCAAGTAAACGAAATTCTCTACTTTCTCGAAATTGTAACTATCAACAGTGACGTGGGTGCTAAGGAGCGAATGTGCTGACTGTTTGTTTGATGACAGGAGATACTTCGTCTTGTCGTCGTTTACCACCAGACACATTCGCTTTGCTTCCCTATCCAACTTGGAAAAGGCAGAACAGACTTCGCGGTTTTTGTTATCGATGACGTCGATGTCATCGGCATAAGCCAGCAAATTGCACGCTCTTGTAGTAAATTGTTCCTGAGCGGTTCAGTTTTGCAGCTGTTATTATCTTCTCCAACATCAGATTAAAGAAGTCACATGAAAGGGAGTCGCCATGTTTGAAACCCTGTTTTGTGGCAAATGGCTCGGAGAAGTCTTTCCCAATTCTGACGGGGCTGGTGGTATTGCGCAACGTCATTTAACACAGCCGTATGAGTCTTGAGGCGATGCCAAATTCCTGGCTGCAACAAGATAGT